AGAAAGGTGCAGATCATAGGATGCGCAAAACTCTCTAAAATGTCGCAAGTTCCGCGGGCGACGTGCGCCAAACCGTGAATTCACTTTCGCATAAATCATAATGATCATAATTGTTTCAAAATGTGTATGACGATTGCAAAACTTTGTTTTACAAAATATTGAATCGGATGATAGTTGAGGCCTATTTATCTTATATATAAAGCTGAATGTCTGTTTGTATGTATGTATGTATGTATGTATGTATGTGTGTATGTCTGTGTGTACGTATGTTCCGAATAGAAAATTCCATTTCTGAACCGATCCGGACCAAACTTGGCACACATACACTTCGGGCCCCGGCAGGTGTCATAGGCTACTTTTCGTCATCGATAGATATCGATTTTATCGATTTTTATCGATTTTTTTGCTGAGTTCACCTACGGGGCTGGGAGTTGGCACAGGGGGGTAATCGAGCATGGGGATTCCGAATACAATATTGGTTTTCAGGATTATCGATTACTTTTATCGATTTTATCGATTTTTTTGCAAAGTTTGAGCTAGGGGGCTGGGAGTTGGCACAGGGGGGGGGGGGGGGGTAATCGAGCATGCTGATCATCCCCAAGGGGGGTGATCAGCATGCTCGATTACACCCCTGTGCCAAATTCCAGCCCCTAGCTCAAATTTTCAAAAAATCGATATCGATAAAAGTAATGGACGATCTTGAAAACTAATATTGTATTCGTAATCTGCATGCTCGATTACTCCCTGTGCAAACTCCCAGCCCCGCAGGTCAAACTTTACAAAAAAATAGATAAAATCGATAAAAGTAATGGACGATCCTGAAAACTAATATTTTGTTCGTAATCAGCATGCTCGATTACCCCCTGTGCAAAATCCCAGCCTCGCATGTCAAAATTTACAAAAAATCGATAAAATCAATAAAAGTAATCGATAATTCTGAAAACTAATATTGTATTCGGAATCCCCATGCTCACTTCCCCCCTGTGCCAACTCCTAGCCCTGTAGGTGAACTCTGCAAAAAAATCGATAAAAATCGGTAAAATCGACATCGATCGATAACAAAAGTGGACTGTGACACCCGCCGGGGCCCGAAGTGTATGTGTGCCAAGTTTGGTCCGGATACGGCGGAGCCGGGTAAGCCAGCTAGTACTTCACAAAAAGGCGAACAACAGTTGTACAACTTTCGCTCTGAACAGCTAGAATGGACGTTCCTCACTTTCCATAAGAGAAAAATAGGAAATTCTAGATGAGCAGTCTTATGAGTCCAAAATGCTGAAAAAATTGCGTAATTTCAATTTTTTGCAACAATTTCCTGCAGAAAGTTTTCTAGAAAGTTTACAGCTTCGCTTAATAGACCATCGGCAGTATAATGAGCAGAGTCCACGCTCCTAGTACATTTAAGAGTTAGTTGAGCTTTTTCAGACTATAGTTTCCTGGGAAAACGTTTTGACAATTTTGGATAGGAGATCTTTGTCGAAGCTAGGATCCTAAAAAAATATGCGATATGTAGCTGAAGGTTTGCACATGGTTTTGGTAAAGATTTATCTTGATTCCAAGTTGAAATTCGGAAATCATTCATTATGAGACAACCTAACATATAAGTTAAAAATCTGTGGCATACCATTCTGACGGTTTCCTCAACGCTAGTATGGCGAGCGACTGAGACGCACAGCAGGAAAACATGCGGGTCTTCATAGCCAGGGTCAGCTTTTGAGTCCACGAACACGCATTTTCGACCATTGAAAGCGGTCACAAGTTGACCGTTCTGAAATCTTTCAGATGCAGTTATATTGTATTCGACTGGAAATCATTCTTACGTCGTTATCATAAGGCACACCAGAGTAATCAGCATATTTCTTCAGCATCATTTCTTTGCCGCAATCGGAATCACCGATCACGACACAGCGGACCAATTCAACTTCGTTGAAATTTGTCATTTTTATGGGTATATCTGTAAACAGATTATTTACTTGAGATGTAATGACGACGCGTGTAAGCTCTCAATCCACAAATAGCACAAAATTGAATTTCTATAACAACAATATATTAGAATCACCAGATGGGTTTAGAGTGAACTATTAGGTCGGCTAATAAATAAGTTCTTTTACTTTTGCGGCTATAAGAGTAATTGCAGACGAATTTTTGTCCGATGTGTTTTTGACTTTTCAGACTCTGAAGAAGGCGCGTTTGTCGAAACGTCAGTCTTTATATTGTAAAATAAATATCCATACCAATCTTGGACGCTGCTAAAGAAATCAATCAGAAGATTTAGACTATGCCAAGATTTATGGATAATAATCGAACGGATTCTTTTGTCCGATATATAGTATTTCCGGAAAGAGCACTTCAATGGGAATTGAAATATGAACTATATTACTTTAGAATTTATTTGATGAAGGAAAGACGCAAAGATAAGAGACCCCAAATATTCCATTGTGCGCAAATGTGAGAAAACGTTTTCTAAAGCAGAATTTTTAATTGGCAGATCACAATCTTTATTGTTTTTCGCTAGATGAGAAAACATGTTCCAAATACCAAATTACTCATCCTCATATCCACTGCATGAAAACGAAGCTTAGAAAGACAAAAACTGAGCTTTTAGAAACATAGTGTTGGGCCATAAGCGTCCTTTGATAATATCTAAAGTTATAGATAGCTGATATTCAATAAAAGAAGCTTCAAATTACTTGCAAATCGTGATAAAAAAACCAAAAAAGATGTTTATGAATTTTTCAGGCCGAAACAAACTTATTTTCTACCAATTCAGTAATATTACTTTGAATGAACTGATGTAAGTTTTAAAATACTTAGCAAGGTTTTCATAGATTCAAATGAACTAGCAAAGGCTAATCCGCAATCTGCTTCTGCTTCTGCTGCATAAACTTATGCAAGTGACATTTCTTCCACACATAGTGAGTCCTGTAGTTGGCAGTGTCAACGGCAGCAGATCGGACGGAATTCGAGCATAATCAAGGAAGTTATGCAAGGAAAAGTCTACCTTTATTTGCATGAAACAGACGACGAAGTTTCATTTTACGAGATGAAGATGTAAGCAAAGAATTTCTACGGCGCTATAAACTAGCAGGTTTGTTTGTACAACTGACAAGATGATCTCTTTGTGATCGTACTTGTGGCTGCTTGCTCAAAGTAGTGCAGTAAACATTGACGTCATGAGCAAAGAATGAATCAGCAAGAATTGCCTGATGACAGACAGCCAAATAGCAGGTTGAGAATGTTTTATGAGACTGCCAGAGTGAATTCATACTCTAAGAGGATATCGGTGCAGATTGAATCCAAAGATAGCGCTATTAATTGCAAAATAAGAGCCTTTTCTTGCAGTGGAAAAGCAGAAAGTAAATATCTTACGTTGACGGATAATCTGGGCTATACTTTCACATTTTGTTGACATTTTATCAGGAAAACATCTTTGAAAAAGTTGAATCGTTTCTGTGCGTTTCGTATCGATTTTTACACATGCAAGTAAAAAAAGAAGTTCTAAATAAAAAAAATTTTGGTGCTTCCGTTCTTCGGATAAATTTTTTTCAAAGGGCTCCATATTATAAAATACGTTCTAAAATCTATATACATTTTTAGTAGATTCTACGAGCACTGCATCCTTGCCACGTGTCAGAAAAAACTTGACAAGTTCTGAGTTCTGGTTTTTTAACATGTTTTCTCACAATCATTTCCGGTGAGGTAAAAGAGCAGTTGTGACCACGGAGAAGCTGTTTAAAGGCAGTGTCTCACCAAGATTTAGTTGCCGAGATTTTTGCATTTTGCAAGCCTGTCGAACCCTGTCTGTCTGTCCCTGAAGATCCGCGTGACCTCAACTTTGGTGAGACACTGCCTTTAAGTGTTTTCTATAAGAGCAAAACATTTGACTGCTTTTTATGAGAGCAAAAAATCTAAAACTTATACCACAACATCTTGATCGCTTTCACCAATGATTTGAAAACGTCCTCCTTTTCAAACAGCTTAGCCGGGGAAGACTATCGACGATGGCTCAAAGTTTGCTGCATTCCTCAGAACTGTTCCCATATGAACCATCAACGTGGCTGCTCTAATCTGGGAAGTTTGATCTCCGTTCATTGAAAAAAGATGACCTTATTATAACAATGTTCCTTTTGATATTGTTCACTTAAAAATGGGGTCGTTATTGACAAAAAAAGCAGATTAGACTTACGTTGTTAGCTTGGGCAATACAAACTCTTGGTAAAACCTGTTAAACATGTCGATAAAGTGTCAAAATTTTGACATGTGACAGAAGGTTGACACTCCTTTCTATGAAGTTGGTACCAAATATGGTACAAGGAAAGAGTCATATCCTTTTGAAAAAATGGGTTCAGATAACCGAAAAACCGAAAATGAATTCTAAAAAAATGGATTTTTTAATGTTATTTTCAGCTTTGAGGCTCGAAATTTCTCAAATTTCTCACTACCGAAAGGCATAACTGATGAAATTACCTGCAATAAACCTATTGGTAAATGTAAAGAGCAATAAACATATTAAAAAATATTTGTCGCGGTCGCAACGTACACTTCTTAAAGTTCTCATGACCTGAATGATGAAATGTATCGAACATACGAAACCGCTGTCAAATTCAAAAATTAAGATGCGATAATCGGTGCTGCATACGGCAAACATTTTTGGAAAGGTTGGATTTCACTGGTTTTACAAATCCTTTGATTCCCTTGATCTCAGTGAAAAATTATGACTTTCTCACGATGTCTAAAAGAGAATTAGTGCAGGCCCAACGATATCAGCTGATACAAAGAAACACGTGAACTGTCTTTTTTTTTTCTCGGATTTCGGTCGCAATAATGTAAAGAGCCCAATTGGATCTAATTTGAGCATTGATGTTTAGCGATTCACAAATTTCAACCAAGGAAGTGATGTTGGAGGTCTCAACGGATGATAAGATATTCGGTTTTTTAACGATTTTGTCCGAATCATGAATGCAGAATATTGACTGTATCAAAAGTATAGAAAATCATTACATCAATCACATCTTTGGTGCAAGACATGTACACCAATCTAGTACTGAATTCGATCATACCTACTGTTTGGAGTAAAAGCTTTGGTCCATAATTCTGTTGAGAGGGACGGGTTAGGGAAGCGGGTAGAAGAATTTACGTGAATTTACGTCAGCACATCAAAGTTATTCTTATTTCTGTCTAGTAAATATAGTGGCAGTCAATTGAGGAAAGTTATTACGTTATACAATTTTCGCTCACAAATTATTTTTTTCTGTTCTTCTAGAAAAACGCTATTGGAAAACTCTTAAAAAAGAATCACTGATAATTAACTTACAAAGCGACGTGATGGAAAGCATACAAGGGTCACTGAAGAAAGTTATAATCGCTATAATTCGCTATGCTTAGGTTCTTTATAGAAAGGTGAGGTTTCAAGGATAAAACAAAACCCATTCGCGTAGAGTGGAAATTGAGTGAATTATTTCAAAATCACCAATTTCACCCGTAACATGCCCCATAAAAGCATTAAACACAGATTACCGAATCATGATTCGGATTACCGGAGATAAGCAATGTTTCCTTTTTGGGTAATGCGTCTCAAATGATGTTAGGAGCTGTTACATGCAGTGTTGAACATTATACTAAATTACTAAACTGGCGGAACTGGCGAATGTGTGGCTGCTGGTGATAAAAAAATGATCGGGAAGGAGTACAGAAAATTATGCACGTAATACGCTTGTTATGCACTGTATGGAAATGAGAGAACATTGGTGGTTCTGCGTTGGCCACATTTTAGAAAGCAGAGAACAGGAAAACAATTTTTGGATGTTCAACCCAACCCTAAGCAAAATTAGCAGTACCAAGTAGGTGCTGGTCAAATGGATAAACGGACAGAAATAGGGTTTTGAGAGAAATGGACGAGCAATTTTTCGATTTAATTTTTCAAATTATAAAATATTGAAGATACATTCTACTTGTAAGTTATTAGGTATAATATTTTTTCATTCCTTCCAGCCCCGCAAAAAAATTTCGTATTTTCTAATGAAATTATTATAGGCTATTTTGGGGCCTGACCACCCTCTTCGTATGAGAACGTGGTTTACGATGACAACGTGCTAATTATCTACGTAATTGTTGAGTTGTCCTGAAAATAATATCAAATCACATGTTATCGCAGCGGATGGGCAAGAAGGAATCTCAATAAGGTATATACCATATGTGGAGCAAAGCAAGCTCTATAAGGTGGTATACAAACATCATACATCATCATAAACTTTGTTCCGTGAAGTTTGAAACTGGGATATAAAAAATTTTAACTACCCAAAAATCGTGTCTTCGTCCATAAAATTCTGACCTCCAATATGCTTAGCATGTATTTTCTACATAAGACGTTCACAAAAGTTGCCGAAATTTTTCCATACCTAGAATGGGAGATACGAATGTCAAATGTATGCATGCCGCGTTTTTCAGAAATTTTTCCTGAAAATTAGCGCTTGTAAGAAATCGAAAAATCATATAAATATTGTTGAAGGTTTACATGAAACACCAACAAGTAAGCGCAAGTACTTTTCAAAAACATGCCAAATTTTGTTTTTTCGATTTCTAGCCCTGGAAAATGCGGAAATGTGCATACGAGCAACTGGCGTAGAGAGTGCATGCGTGGAAAGAATTTCTAGGATTTCTAGGATTTTTTCCAATTTTCAGGCATTTAGACCCTTTCAACGATTGGCTTTTTACTTGACATGAATCAAACTTGTTGCACATGTTTGAACTTCACCTTGTAAAGCTTGCCTTGCTCTCCCGAGTAGTTTCCTTATTGACTTTGTTATGTTTACCCATATGCGACACCATTGAATAGGTTGGTGCAAAAGTTCCGTCGCTCCATTTGTAAACTCATAATTTTCTGTTATCTCGACAGATTTATATTATTTTGATTTTGCTGGATAGAGGAAATCATTTTCATTGTGACTTCAAAAGAAGGAGAATTCTACTTCGGCGGTAGTCATTTCAAGTTGGGCTGCCAAAGAGCTAAAAATTCCGATAAAATTCGGAGTGAGTGTTGGTATAAGTTTCATAATCAACTGTTTCCAACTGTGCAGAGTTTGAATTGCGATGCTCCCAGAGTTACGATTTTTGAATAACTGCCAAACACTTAATAGTGACTGTGGCCTGATACTTCACGAAATCTCTCAAATATAGATTAGTCATCAAAAGAAAAATGCAAGTCACTCGCACTATTTCTCTTTCTTGTAGACCACTTTCAAAGTTTCTCATGCCATTTTCGAAATCCAGACCTTTTCCATGCATTTGCAAAGTAGGGGAATGGGGCAGGGAATGAATTAGCATAAAAAAGAGGCAAATTTTACTTCTGACCCATAAAATGAGACTGGTACGCTAAAAAGAGTAAAGGCAATCTCAAGATAAAAGTTGAGGAGTTAAAGCTGTACATACTGCAGGAATGAGCAGTAGATGAAAAACGGAAACCATAAATGAAATTGAAAAAGCAAGCAAATGAGAACCACAAACTTAGACTAATGAGCCAGCATCGTGCCATATATTACCGTTTTCAATTTTTACCATGAATAGAACTCATTTATCGATATACTTCGTGCGATAATCTACCATATTTGATGCTTATGTACCTAAATACGGATTATTATAAATGATGTGGAATAATGGGCGATGGAACACTAGTGGCCGAATATTTTCGCTTTTGTAAATGGTAATTCTTCAAGCTATTTGCGATTTAGATTTATAGGAGACATAATTAATTGACAATCTAGTAGGTTGAGTGAAAATAGATCAGGTATGAACGAGAGAGATTTATGAAGAAAAAAATATGCATGATAAAACTATAAGACTTTTGCAATTTTTTGCGTGAACCCTATTGCTCTCACTAATGATGCTTTTTGAAAAACTAAAAAATTTGAAAAACGAAAACTTTTCACAGCTAAACGGTTTTGCGAAAGTTGTTGAAGATTGATGCCGGCTCACAAGCTCGCACAAATGATCGGATGTCTTGCTATTAATTCTATCAGGAGAATGTGCTGGGTTATAGAATGGCTAAGTGATTATTATTGTCCAGAATCACCTCTACATAGGGAGAAACATTGTTATAAAACGAATCACTTTTGCTGAGTTTTGTTTGAAAAGTGAACGCAATCTTGAGTTCAAAACGCCTGTACTGTGAAAGAATGTCGAACTCGTGTTGAAAAGCGTAAAGGAAGACATAATGGTTTTGCATAAAAGCTATTCATGTTAAAATGATGAAAATGCTTTTAAGCACGCTTTGACTCTTAACCAGCCATTAGCTACTAAGTGCAAAAAACTCGGTTTTGAACGGGGGTGAAACGATTTCATGCATATTTTTCTTGTGTGAGGAGCAAAATTTGTGTTGGAGAGTTTTTGTGAAGAGTCTTTTTCGTGTACGTGAGCCCAAATTCTGACTTCGACTTCGATGCGTAAGGTTTACAGGTTCTTTTCTAATAAAAAGCGCTGCCGGTCTTCTCTCGATTTAGGAAAGCCCGTGACTTGAGTTTGGACTGGGGATGCCAGCTAGTGAGCCTTCTCTGTTCTGTAAATTATCAGATGAATCTGCCAAAAAATCCTCCTAACAAAAACTTCTCTTTGATTAGTGTTCCAAAGTACACAGGTGGTTAGACCTACACCTATCAAACAGGATTTTTAGCTCCTTAATATTTCTAAAATCCGCTAAACAATGCTTATGGAGCAGTGATAAGAAAATTTAGTAAAATTTCAAGGCAAAACGCGAGAGAGAATCCATTCAACATGACTTTGTGGCGAGGATTTCCGGAAATTTTGAGTAATTTGAGACGAGGATGAATGTAAATAATCATATGACATTGTATCTAATCTCACGTCATCGTTCGCGTAAAAAGCCAAAAAAGTCAAGAAGAACTAGCATTTGCGAGAAATTATATACGTAAGCATGAGATATTTGAGCTTTTCCGTTGCGTGAAGCTTCAAAAAAGCTTAGATCAAGGAGTACAGTATTCATGTTCTTTTATTGAAAAAATCCCAAGAATCTTCAAATTTGTTTTCCCAGGTAGAGAACTCTTACAACTTTACTTGTAAAGCTGCAGAGACAATCAATGGATTAGTGGCAGATCTTTTCGTTCATCACAGATTAAAGAAGGCGCTCAGCCGAAACGTCAGCTAAAAATTTCATTGTTCAATTTCGCGGCTTACAAGCACTAGTATATAATCTATTGGGTTCTCTCATAAGTTTTTTCTATTTTGATTTTTTATATCGCAGTAAATCACACATTTCTCAGTTCTTACTACGATGCAAAGTATTCTTCGATAAAGCAAAGCGCTCTGTGAGATGACATGAAAGTGCTCGCACCAGCTCTAGCATATCACGAGTCAGAAGCCGAAATCTGAGAACTTAGGAAACGCCCGAAAATTGAAAATCTCTTATATTTTCGCGCAAAGAAAACTACCAGATCCCAAACTCGCTCAAGCAAACACACTCCATATACGAACTTCCGTTCGTATCGTTCTTTGAATCCTGAGGAATGCGCGATGGCGAACTTTGACCGAGGCTCAAATATTTCACAGATTTATGTTCTTTGATGTTCTTATCAGTGGATTTCCCATGCTTACTTTAAGTGTGTTTATATCCGCTTGCATATGTAAGTAGTTAGTATTGTGTAGTGAACACATTCACGGTTGTATGTTGTTTTTCCTTCCTCTCATTATATTTTACGTTATGATCATTCTTTCCTTTATCTTAGTCATTACTTCACGGATCTCTCACAGTAAATCACAGTTCTCTCACAGAACCCCTCACAGTAACTCATAGGCTACTCGGATAGCATATATTGAACCTATACCCTTTATGCACTATCTTAACTTTTTGTAGTTGTTAATTAGTATTTTTATAATAAAGTTTAATTACACAAGTTTGAGGTGCACTCGCTGTGCGTAAGTCCCGCGTGGCAGCATCGATCACAGTTCGCGCACACCGCACATACACTGACTCATCGACCTTACAAGTGGTGCATCGGCCAAACGGAGGTACGATTTGTTACATTCGAGTAACGCTTCCGACTAACATTTTGCACGTTACTCACGGCACCTCACAGAGTTTGGCACAGCTATTGCACAGCGAGTCACAGTCACCTCACAGGTCCCTCACAGTAAGAGTCACAGTTGCCGTACAACGAGTCAGAGTATTTCACACAACTAACTCAACTAGCCATGGCTAGCACAGTAAGATGCCTTAAAGGACTCGTCACTAAAAGAAATGACGCAGCAATGGATTGGCTGCAAGACTCCATTCAAGCGCTCACAGACGCACAAGTCAAGGAAAGCGCAAGGAGAATACGAACCTGTGAGTGTATATCGAGCTTCTCGAAACATCATTGACAAAGCTAACTAAAGCTTTCGATGAAACTCCAGAAACCACAGAAGAAGAGGAGGACCACCAGGACAAGTATATAGAAATGACCCAGGCAACAATAATGAAACTGCACGAGCGCAGGACACGGTTAGAAGAAACCCAGGAAGATAATGTCGGGGTTGACACAGACGGCACCACAAGCCTAGCTGCAGTCAACAAACTCCCGACAATCCCTATCCCAATATTCACAGGAAGAAAATGGAAATGGGATAATTTCTGGGCCCTATACAAAGCCAATGTCCACGATCAGAGCCTAACACAGTTGCAGAAGTTTAATTATTTGCTGGCATCTCTGAGTGGGGAAGCGAAACAATCGGTCTCACGATTCTTCGTCTCAGCAAATAATTACGACAAGGCAATTCAACACCTCGTCAAGAGGTATGGCAATAAGGACGGCATCTCTTAGAGTTGAATAGAAGCCTACACAACTGTGTTGCAAGGGGACCCAGTACGACGGAACAGCGACAGTTGTGGGACAAGCTGTCGACGATCGCAGCACAGTTAGAAGAGCATGAGGAGCAGCTCAATAACCAACTAACGATACAAATTTTTGTGCAAAAGTTTCATGCACGCATAAGAAGAGCAGCCATGGAGAAAAGACTGCGATATCAGGAGAAACACAGGTCCGAGTGGACCTTGACCCAATGGCTTGATGCCATCAACAACGTCATTTCACAGGAAGAGCAACTGAACGATATACTCTCAATCAAAGGACACCCAGGGAATTGCTCTTCAAGACGGAACGATAGATGGGAATTAGTTTGCGAATGCTGTGGAAGAAGCGGTCACAGATGGACATTCTGCCCAGCCATCCCCACAGCAGCACAAAAGAAAACGTTTCTTCTTGATTCCCGCAGGTGCCCAAACTGCGGATCTGCTGATCACAGAGTAGCGTTATGCTCGAGCGGCAACTGTAGAAAATGTCGTAGAGGGCACCACACCGCAATATGCACGGGAAGCACGCCACAGGAACCAAAGAGTTGTGACAATTCAAACCAGCATGCAGCGACCAGGTCTAAGAAGGAAGAAATTGCACAGGGCACTTCTCCGATCGATGAAGGAGCTTCAAAAACTTTTGTACCAAGAACTGCTACAACCCTACTGCTAAGGCGGAAACATGTCGTTAGCTCTTTGAATCCTAAAGAAACAGAAGGATCGTGGAAACATTCAAACTCCAAACCACAGCACAACGAAGTTCGAGACTGGATGCAAATCATGAATCAGCATTTCGAAACCCTTACGCAGAAAATGGAGAACGGATTCAAAACCGTCCGAGAAGAAATCAAAAGGCATCACGAAAAGGCACAAAGTATAAATACTCACACGGAGCATCAAACCCCAGGAAGGACTATGCAGACAGAGGACCAAGCGAAAGAAGGATATGTCAAGAATTGCAGACAAAGGAGAATGTCTTCTACGACTTCGCAAAAAAGCTCAAACACAGCAATCAGAGTGCAAAAGCAGAATAATGATAAGGAAAGAAAATCAGCTTTCAAAGGAGCACAGGAAAGGCAGACCAAGCGAATTTTTACGGATATCAAAAGAGCACGGTAAACGGCGCTATTTTCGACAGAAAGAAAGAGAACTACGAAAAGCCAGCAGACCCCAAGGACGGAAGAGCAGAAGTCGAACAGCACCAAAAGGATCGAAAACTAGTTTTCTGCACGCAACAAACGCAGATACGAAGTAAAGGGAAAAAAATGTCAGAAGCAGCATAACACGGGACGACCGCATTCAGTCAAGCGCATCTTCGTTGGACAAGCCGGAGCATACGAACTCCATTCGTATCGTTCTACGCACCCTTCAAAAAGCGAAGCAGAGCACAGCGACGTGGGAGACAGCAGTTCCGACGAGAATCGCGGAAGCGCCCAGAGGCGAGCCCGAAAACGAGAACAGCACAGTGAATAAGATGTTTCTGGAAGGAAGCGGAGTAGCACGGCGAAGAAAAAGATAGAGCCATGTCACCCCTTGCGCACCGTGGCAGGGTGCGTTTTACGAGAGGATTATGCGCTGCATCAGGAAAACGCTATGCTACATGCTCGGAGTGCTCGCCATGGCTTCCAATGGATCCAGGATGACGCTTACAAAAACGAAAAGTGTTGACTCGACGACGCCCAAGAGAGCAGTTCCAGATCCGAAGGGATGGAAAAAGGGGACCGAAAACTTACCGAAATGGACGATCCCCACAGACAATCTCTCACAGTACGGGAGCAAGAAGGCAAAACCACGCAATTCAAGGATAGAGTCAGCTAAAAAAAGCAGAGCTACGAGTAGCGACGCGGAAGTCAAAAAGCGCGATGGCTACCACGACTAATACGTCATCAACAGTGATGCTCCACTCGTCTGCTGAGGTCGGAGTATACGAACTTCCGTTCGTATCGTTCTTTGAATCCTGAGGAATGCGCGATGGCGAACTTTGACCGAGGCTCAAATATTTCACAGATTTATGTACTTTGATGCTCTTATCAGTGGATTTCCCATGCTTACTTTAAGTGTGTTTATATCCGCTTGCATATGTAAGTAGTTAGTATTGTGTAGTGAACATATTCACGGTTGTATGTTGTTTTTCCTTCCTCTCATTATATTTTACGTTATGATCATTCTTTCCTTTATCTTAGTCATTACTTCACGGATCTCTCACAGTAAATCACAGTTCTCTCACAGAACTCCTCACGGTAACTCATAGGCTACTCGGATAGCATGTATTGAACCTATACTCTTTATGCACTATCTTAGCTTTTTGTAGTTGTTAATTAGTATTTTTATAATAAAGTTTAATTACCCAAGTTTGAGGTGCACTCGCTGTGCGTAAGTCCCGCGTGGCAGCATCGATCACAGTTCGCACACACCGCACATACACTGACTCATCGACCTTACACTCCACACAGGATATCCATATATGCTGTTGCTGTGTTTGTTTCAATGCTTAAAACCGAGAAATTTCAAGCGTGTTAAAATCAATGTTTCTTGAGAACTGGACTTTATGGAAAGCTGGACATTTGTGATTGGACTTCTAAAGGCTTGTGATATACATTTACGTATGTGAAAATAGCGCAGCATCAATTTTCGGAGGCTTGAAAATTTTAGTTTACTCGGTTTCTAGCATAGAAACAAACACAGCAACAAATTATATGAATGTCTTATGTGGAGGTAGAGTGCATATGCGTGAGCGAGTTTGAGATCTAGTGAGTTTTGGCAATAAAATTGAAAAATTCCAATTTTTCGGGCACCCGAAAATTCTCAGATTGCTTCTAACTCGTGATGTGCTGAAGCTAAAGCTGGTGCGAACACTTACACGCCGTCTTCTAAAGCTTTCTTTGCTCTACCAAAGGTACTCTGCATCCTAATAAAAGCTGAGAAATGTGTAATTATTGTTATTGCGGTAACAAATCAAAATTGAAAAAACTTATGAGACAATCTATTACGTCAAAACGAGATTCTTAGATTCGATTAACCCATCTGTTCGCCAAAGTGACTGCTGCAATCCAACAATTTTGCTTTAGTGCAATCATTTCTATGTTCTATTCATTCTTGCCTTTGTATCCTCTTTTGCATAAACTATGTCGACATTTTCTATTCTCGAAATCTCTGAGCCCATCCAAAGGTATTTATCCATTTCTATAGGTATTTTGCATGCAATAATGGTGCAAGTAAAAAGCAATGCACATTCAAGTAATCAATCCATCAGTGAATGTCGCTGACACAACAGCACTGGGAAGCATAGCTCAAGACAGAAACCAGCTGTATTCTTTCACCAGCCGCCATGGCCATGGCCATGACCTCCACCATGACCATGACCATGGCCATGGCCATGCCCATGGCCATGTCCATGACCACCGTGTCCTCCGTGGCCTCCGCCTCCCCACGAGCGCTTATGACGATATCTGAAAAATTACATAATTTTGAATGACGTTGTAGAAATATTCTTACCTTCCACTTTCAACCGCTGCCTGATTTTCTGTGGTGGGCAGCGAAGTTGTTATATTAGCTGTCAAGAGCATCAACACAACTAGGAGAAGCGGACTCATTTTGTTTCTAAATGAACAAAAACAGATTTGAGGCAAACTTTTGGAACTATACTACATAGAACTCCGATCGAAAGATGTTGAGTGCTAAAAATTTGCTAGCCTTTCCGCATTTTGATAGAAAGTTTGATTGCTGCTATTGCTGCAGAACTTCCCGTTTTTTCGCTGAATTACGCTAAAAATTCACAATTTTCAATGCTCGGCAAAAACAAGCACATAATATTCGCGCCACTCATGTGAAAACCTTTTTTGGGAACAAATCCGCGCCTGTGCTTGTACCAGAAATTTTCGTGGGAGCGCTGTTTTCAGTGCAATGTGATGGTCTGCCGTCCGGCTTTGACTAAATCTGAAAGTGTCATAAGAATCGAAATTAGTTGATAGAATAGCGTTGAGATACAGAAGGTGCTACTTCCAATTGTCTCCCGCTTATATAGCAAAATCATTCCGTGTAGCAGACCTTGTTGAATGGAAAACTAGTCATTAACGGTTTCTTAATGAACTCTCATAGTGCTTTGAATAGCTTTGATTATTGCAAACAAGTCTACTTCGAAAGATCTGCCTTGTTACAAAGTGCAACGCAATGGTACCGGTTTTGAAATATAGCTTCACCATGAAACTGTGCCTTCATCTATGTAGTGGCCTATACTGGCTTGTCTTAGTAATATGCCGCGATTTTCTTAAAGGCAGTGGCTCGGGAAAACTGCGACTGCGGCTTTTCACGGCTACATGGCCTCCTGGACCAGCTGAGTCCTGTGCTGCGCTTGAAAGGTCAAAAAGGTGCCTTTTGGAGTTTCCGGGCCTTGGAGATTGCTGGAGGGGCAGGGGATTCACCCCAATGGGAGCAACTGGCTGCTGGAGACTGTAACTTCCCTATTTTGGCGGCAATTGGCTGATCAGCCTAGGCTGCCATCGCGATACAGTTCGCCAAAATAGGTGGAGTTACAGTCTCGTGCAGCCGGTTGCTCAATCTGAGGTGAATCCCTTCTCCCCGCATCCCCAGCAATCTCCAAGGAGAGGAAACGCCAAAAAAGCACTCTTTTGACTTTTCAAGCGCAATACCGGACTCAGCCGGTCCAGAAGGCCATGTAGTCGTAAAAAGCCCGCAGTCGCAATTTTCTCGAACCACTGCCTTTGATACTAGAGACCATTTTTCTGCTTTTTGTGAGAATATGTGATCGTAAGAAAAATAATAATAAAGCAGATCCACTAAATGTACCTGGCTGACAAGCACAATCCGAAAAATTGCAGATCAGCTGTATACTGATTCAAGATACAGGCCTAGTGAGCTACTTTTTTCTCCACAGTAAATATGGTGTTATTTCATTAGGTCATCGGTTGGCTCGAAAATTCTCGGACATTTTCAGATTGCTATTTCTCGAGAACTAATGCACGTATATCCTTGAAAATTTGCGACTGTACTCTTTCTCGGCTGTGGCTGATATATGAGCAACTAGGAGGAGCCTAGGATCGAAAAAGGCAGAGTTGGAGTCTAGGATCGACAATTCGGAGTTTGCCACTTTTCAATCAACTCGTTTTTCTTGTTATAAACTCAAACTGCGTACACAATTTGATGTAAGTATATATGTGTATGCTATAAACTGGAGCATGGGGAATTCCATAACGTTTGCAGAAGTTGGAAATGGATCTGGGTAAGTCAAAATTTTTTGCTTTAGAATGTTCTACTGAATTTACATAAAGAACATTGATAATGCTTGTGCTTACCATGATTTTCTAGGGATTGCTTTCCTATGTACAACGGTATCCAGCATGCTCCAATCAGTGCTAACATCGAAACAAAAACTAAATGCGACGTTTGAGAACTTTTGAGCCAACTTAATAAATTATTGATAAAAGAATTAAGCGGCGGTCTCAGAATTGTTTTGGGGGCTAGGGAGCTGAGGGGGACGGAGGGGGGGGGGGGGAGCAAGTTGTGACAGAGGTGTTTTGCAGTTAAGGGTCTTCAAAATGATTTTCTGGTTGCATCCCAAACCAGCGAGTTTATTACTCAGAAGGTCTAAATCAGGTTGCGGCACACGCCTTTGACAGAAATTGTTATTTGGAGTTGAGCTCAAATTAATTTGAAAATTTGAGTTGTTGTTCTACTTAGTTGAGATATAAACAAGTTACTTGCACGGTCGCAAGACTCATATAGACAACAATCCGCAACCAATTTCTGAGGCTAAATCCTCTCTCTCCCCCAACCCTCTTCCTCTCTTCCACCGCCACTAAGAACTATCTGCATTCCAGAACCACATCCTTATCCTATTTGGTGCACACCTATTGTGCCAAACTCTAGGATAAGAAGTAACCTCATTACACTTGCATTGTGCCATTGTGCTCAATTATTCCTGATTTGCGTAAACTAGGAATGGACCAAAATCTACGATCGTGAACGAAGTTACTGCAGAAAGTTTTCGTTTACGACCGTGTCAAAAGCGTTTCAAAATTTCCCGAGAATAGTCCAGTGCCCTGCACGTGAGTGGCAAATGAAGCTCTCTGAGATGGATTTCCCCGTGTAACTTTCGATCA